AGGCCGGGTTATGAAATTACTCGTCCTGGTAAGCTCTCGACTTGTGTAGAATTTCAAAGGGTCTAAGGAGCTTATCGGCATTCGAGAAACTAGAAACTGATGAGGTGTAAACTTATGTGAAGGTGGCTCTGAGGACNGAGGCCGGGGTATGAAATTACTCGTCCTGGTAAGCTCTCGACTTGTGTAGGATTTCAAAGGGTCTAAGGAGCTTATCGGCATTCGAGAAACTAGAAACTGATGAGGTGTAAACTTATGTGAAGGTGGCTCTGAGGAAAAGTTCTCACAGCTCCAGAAGTCCCGACATGTGCAGCCCTCTGAAGTATACCTTATTTTGTTATTCTTAACATAAAATCAAATCAGAGTACCGTAAACGTCCAGATTACAATTTTCACGCTAAGACCTCACCTCCTCACTGTTTGTAAGAGTAAAAAGGAAAACTTGATTTCTTTACACTTTCCTCTACATTTATCTTCTAACTTAGCCTTGAATCCAGGCGTTCTCCTAGGCACCCGCTCGTTTAGAAAATCGTTGAATTTGGTCATTCAACTTGGATTATTCAAATCTGGAGACGTTATTTCTGGCCATAAAGAGGGCACGTTCTGTTGTCTAATAATCCTAGAGATTTTTTTGCATAGTATGCCGCTCACCAGGAAGCTGATGTACAGTAGGTACAATTGTACTTTTTTAAAACTTTTTATACCCGAGCGCACTTGTGCACAAGGTGCACAAAATCGTTAGAAATAGGGGTAAAAGCACGNTTTTAAAACTTTTTATACCCGAGCGCACTTGTGCACAAGGTGCACAAAATTGTTAGAAATAGGGGTAAAAGCACGCTTCTTACCATGTAACAGCAGTTTTCAGAAAGGTGAAAAACTATATTTAATACTTACGTCGAGTATTTAATGTTCGGCTCCACCCAAACTTAGACTTTCTTACTTGTTTTAAATTACATTCAGTACAAGCCCACCATTTGTGTTAAATGTGTATGTGGTGTGAGAAATTCAGTTTGCTTGGGATGGGCCACGCCCTTTTTTCCAACTTGAACTCGGTTCATATTTAGGCTCTCAAAATTTATTTATCCACAGCAACCTTTTTTTGCCTCACTGTGAGTCAAATTAGTTTACTGTGAGTACAAAGTTGATATAGAATCGGAGAATATAAAAATGCATATTATTTTTCATCAACTTTAATGGCTTGAAGATTTAACACGAGGAAAAAGGCGCTTGTCCGATTAGCCTTATCTTAAATGGCCGGCTAGGCGGTAGCTCGTTGCCTCTTTCACGATGGTCATTCGTGATTTGGGACCTCTAGTGTACGTCAAGGTTGAGAAGCTTGAGCTATTTTTCGCTGCTCACTGCTCAGTCTCCCGACTCATCGTTGAGTATGCCAGAGTTACCAGCTATATATGTTTAAGCATAAATCCCGCTTGACCTGCCCAACCTCGAATGTACTACTAAACCATTTTTTAGGGTAACTAACATGGCCGAGCGGATAAAGTTGTGTACTTTCCTGGACCAACCATCAGCGAAGACTCCTCCTTTGGTAAGCAATTTCATTAAAAAAAAAATCATAAAAAAGCGTCAGACGATTGGGCATTTGACCACAATTCGGCGTAAAATGATAGCGCAATCGTGTGATCGGGAAAATATTGCGCTTTGTGCCAATCATAGCAAACAATTTTTATATATTATTTTTATTAAATTTCCAATTAAATTTATACATACGGTTCCAATCGTTGGACTGCTAAAGAAATAGTTATCCCAATTTTTATATTTTTTGCCAATAGGTCAAAATAATAAAAAAATACAAATTTGTACAAATATACCACTCGTATAATCCAGCCTTTAGAAAAATTTTTGAAGAGCCGGACTCGCAGCTCTCTACACTTTTATTTAAGAAATATGTGAGATTCTGAGAATGTATATGTATACTTAATTAAAGTAATTTATGTACAACCAAACAAATTTTTTTCGAAAGCACCACAACATCAAAATTTTTTACAACACAAACTAGTTACATATTTTTCGCATTCACCTGAAAGTTAATAGTCGCCGTCACCGCTCTCATCGAATCTGCATAGTTCTGCAATACATTTTCAATCTGCAAACACGATTGTCGCCAATCGAAGAGTTGTTCCACTTTAAGCACACACTCTTCGCAGATATTCTTCGGAAGGTAGTCGTCCTTGGATATCTAAAAATGCGCAAAAAAAACAAGTGCTTAAATTTAAAAAAATTTATTTACATGTATGTATGTAAATATATTTAAAGACAGACCTAGACATAGTATTACTGTCCGTTGCGGAGTCACCAAACAAAAAAATTTTACGCTGGGACGGTTGCTAGAAAAAATGCTGCATGTTCAAGAAAAAGTTCTGCAGTAATCTGATGTCCACCTCAGATATTTATTCATAAGTTTTATCAANTACTCTGGGACGGTTGCTAGAAAAAATGCTGCATGTTCAAGAAAAAGTTCGGCAGTAATCCGATGTCCACCTCAGATATTTATTCATAAGTTTTATCAGAATGGCTTTAGCAGAGCAGCTGAGAATAAAGTGATGAGATAATTCCATCTCGCTATTTATAGATCCTCCACTTTAGGTGACAACTTCAAGACGCTTACCAGAAATTGAAGGAGAAGCTCCGCCAAACACGTAGAAATACGAAACTTGAAATCGAAATGGTCGCAGAAGACAGACAACAGTCACATTATACCAATGTTTTAAATGGTAAATTGAAAGCTATCAATACTTTTCCAAAAAAGTAAAAAAAAAGTTAATAAATACATCCGATTCTGAAAAATATCGATACCGAGTTACTCAATTCCCAAAGCTTCTCGATACGACCCATCAATATTATTAACCACCTAATGTTATGCATACTAGATGTGTCAGTTAATCGGAAAATTACTTCTCCATTTCGGCAGAACATGCAGTTTTATGGCTGACCTTGTATTCGTATTCCTCTTCGGTTGGTGTTCGTACTCATTTTTGAATTCGTGAATTCCGGAATATGGACGAGGGAAAAGAAAATGCGAAAATAATACACCGTTAGCAAACCAAATACGATGCCTATCAGCGAACTTCGACATATTTCGATAAATCTTGCTAGATATGAATTAACTTTGTTTACTTGCTATATTTCGATATCGCCAGAACATTTTCGAAAACTATGAAAAAATTTACCGAACAGATAAACTCTGGCATAAAGTTGACAACTCAAAAATTTATATATTTCGATATATGTATAACTCTATAAATTTCGATAACTCGATCATTTTATATAGCCCTAGAAATTTCGATAACTCGATATACTTTGAACAACTAAAAAAATTCGATTTGATAGACCGACAAATTTCGATAAACCAATAAATATATATACCTCGATAATTTGAGAGAACTCGAAAAATTACGCTAAATATATTAATTTCGTTAAGTCGGTAAACTGCTATAGCTCTACAAATTTGGATGATATTGATAATTCAATAATTATCGATAACTTGAAATATTTCAGTAACTTGACAGATTTCGATAATCCGATCAATTTTTACAACCCGATAACTATCTGTAAATTTTGTTAACTACAAACTTCGATGACTATAAATTTCGATGACTTAATAACTTTCGGTAGCTTAATTTTTGATGACTGAATATATTTCGATTCTTATCAAAAAATTTCAATAAATTACCTTGCCTTTTGCACATATGTATATGTCTATGCATTACTCATTGTTTTCATTTTCGTCTTTATCTTAAATTTTGCCTTAACTTTTCTGTCTTCATCTTTTTATCATTTCTTTATCCATCTTCACATTTATCTTTATAACTTTATAAAAATTACGATTTTGGTAATTTGCAACCAATTTTGAAACCATAAAAATTTTCGCCTTCTACAGTAAAGTACCTTTCCAGTGTGTTCTTGGTTTCGATATCGGTCCAGTAGCATCGCCAAACGAACGACTACAAAATTTACGATAGCTTACTAATGTTTAGATTTAGTCATGCAGGGTCTGATAAACTTATACAAAGCTACTGTTCGCTTTTGTTAGTTCGTGTAATGTATGTACATATGTATGCAGTTAGTTAGTCGTTGTAGTCCATTTTGAGAATATGAAAAAATAAAAAAAATATGTATTTATGTACATTAGGGTGGTCCTTAAATGTAGGAAGCTAATTTTTACATCCGATTTCCTAAGCCTAAATCCCTCCGTCGATGCTACTATAAGTCGAAGATATCACATATAAATTTTGGCCCCGATTGGAGACGGTTAAGGCATGTTGCAAAGGGGGCAAGGTTCAGATTCCTCGATGGAGACTCAAAGAATTAAAATAAATGTTTTTTTCATCTAATATCCAAAATCATACTACCGTATTCGCAGATATCATATATAAATTTTGATCACGACTGGAAACGGTTAAGGCGTGTAGCACAGGGGTTAAAGTTCAAATTACACTATACGTCTTAACCAACTCTAACCGGGACCAAAATTTATATGTGATATCCTCGACTATAGTAGTAGAGGAAAAATTTGTGAAGTGGGCCACCATTTTTTCGTGCAGTTATGTGTTTAAGCTTCGCAACGATAAAACAAAATTTCACACAATTCAAAATAAATTGGGCGTCAAGACAAATATTTTTCCGCAAATAATTACTAATAGAGCGTACAACAATATTAGCCCAAAACGCGATTTTAAAGCCCATAAGATGTTAGTAATATTTGAAAACAATTTAATAACTTTTATTAAAAAATTTATGGCAAAAAAAAAATAAAAATGGGAAGAAAACGCCAATCGCGAGAAAACAACTAAAATCTAAACAATTTCGTAAAATCGTAATAGCTATAACTTCCAAAATAATTCCAAAATTTATATAAAATTTTTAATATAAAATTTATGTATGTGATACCTGTGACCGTGGTATTACCGATTAAGGCGATGAGACAGAAAAATCCCCCATTTGATTTTTTAAGGACCACCCTAATGTACGTACAAAAAATATATCTATACATATGTAAGTACCAGTATGCATTTTCATTGACACTTACATTCGTAGACATTAGCGTGCGCAGTTTGTAGACCAAATTCCTCTGCTCCGCCTCCTTCTCGAATAGATGAATTTTGGCGGGACCATTTCGTATCGAGCAGAGGCGGCAAAGTTCAGCAAATGTGGTAAAGTTCAAGTCGCCGTTATATACTTGTTGTGTTTGCTGTTGTTGTTGCTGATGTTGCTGCTGCTGCTGCTGATGCTGTTGCTGATGTTGCTGTGTATTGTGTTGTTGATGCTGGTGCTGATGTTGGTGCTGGTGTTGACCGTGATGTTGCTGTGTTGATTGTGGTTGTTGTTGTTGTTGCTGAGACTGTTGTGTGTTATTAGCGCTCAACATAACTAGATTTGTTTAGCTACTACTAATTTGGTTAGTTTTCTTCTTTTTTTGCAGTTGTGCTATGGGCACCCCAGTATCTCAAATATTATAATAGCATTGCTCTTCGTAAATTTTTATTGGAATCTGGAAAAAAGTAATCTGTTAGATTTGCCACAGAGCACGGGAAATGCATATGTAAGTATGTACATTAATCCAAAAAGTTTTCAAAATTTTCGTGGAAGACCATGAACTAGTTATGTAATATATATGTATGTAGATATGTGCATTAGGGAGGCTCGGCACATCTATTTGTTTAGTTCTTCAAAATCATATTGAAGGATGCAGACTTCAAACATATATGAGACATGCTTTTTCATATCGGTTGTTGTTGTTGTTGTAGCGGCTACAACAACCCCGCCCAGGTCGGTTGGTATCTCAGTCGTTGTCGTCAAGTTCCACTAACGGCAGCTCTAGGAAGCGTGCAGCTTCTGCGGGGTTGGTCCACAGGGACAAGGCCGTTAGGGTTGTCGGGTTTTCCGGGCATGCGAAGAGATGTTTCGAGTCATGTGGGGTCTCTCCGCATGCCGGACACTAATTCAATCTACTCAGGTAGGAGTTTAACCTGCTGCAGTACCCGGAGCGAAGTTGTGCTAGTGTCGTTCGCGTCTCCCGAGGCAGATGAAGCTCCGTCTCGTCTGTGTCCGGGGGCGGTATGCCTAGAACGGCATTCACAGGTCTAGAGTCTACATAACTCGAGACTGACTCCCTGTGAATGCCGTTCAGGGCCAGTCGGTAAGCTGTCTGGACTTCGTCCGTCAGTTCATATAGATGCCTCCTGACGTGCCTAGGCGAGGGCTCCTCTGCAAGCAGCTGTCTGTTTGGGTGGCCAGAAACTGCTTGCAGAGCATGATGTTGTGCTCCTTTACGGGGAGCATTTGCGCCTCGCCGTGAAGATGGTGTTCGGGCGACATCAGGAGGCATCCTGTCGCTGTCCTGAGTGCGGTGTTCTGTGCAGTCTGTAGCTTCGTCCACTGCGTCCTACTAGTCCCCGGCGACCACACTGGCGCTGCGTAGTTTAAAACCGGCCGGCCTATTGCCTTGTATGTTGCCAGCAACGTTTCTTTGTCTTTGCCCCAAGTACTGCCGGCTAGCGACTTGAGGACCTTGTTGCGGCTCTGTACTTTATTGACAATAGCGGTTGCGTGCGCAGAGAAGGAGAGCAGGCTGTCGAATGTTACTCCGAGTATTTTGGGATTATTCACCGTCGGAATTGGTGTGTCATCGACGTGAATTCCCAGCGGTAGCCTGACCTCCTTCGTCCAGGTGGTGTCTCACTTTCGAATGGCTTCAAGTTTTTTTTTTGGGTTCTATACATAAAATAAGCTCACGTGTTCGGGGATTTTTTTTCTTGTTTTTTTTTCTTCGGAGGTATGATCTGACTAATCATGTACTTCTTCAAATCGTTATATCGCGGGTTCTGCTCATCGTAGAGACTTCATCTTAACGTCGTTTTAAAGCTAAAGAAACGGGCTTAACCCTTATATATATAAAATGGTCAATATTTTCCTAAAGCTAACTTAGCTATTAACAGTTGAACTTTTTGTAGTTGATTTGCAGTGAAGACCAGTAAATTAGGGATTTAAAATTATACCATCGTAATCCTAGCTTAATTCTTTAAAAAAATACGCGATTCAAAAAACAGGGGTTTTTCAAGAAGTATTTTTAAAATATTTTTCTTTATGACGAGATGGTTTATTTTATGAGAATCAACAATTTTTTGTAATTTTTTTTTTTCAAAAACTAATCGGAGACACGACATAATTTTTTTTACGAAATCCGTCCGACTTAAAAATGAATGGCTCATATACATATATTTCAAATATATGCTTTTAGTGTAACTGCGCTTACATATACATATGTACATTTCTAGTTACTTTCAGGGCCGGGTTAAAGTATGATATGACGCCTACCGAGAGCTCAAAGCCCTTAGCGAACGGAGTGCTTCGAAAACCTGACCTGTAGATCTTCTCAGCCTTACTCCTTTACAACGGAACTCTGCCTTGGAGTTCGACGACCTGGTATAAAATATACATAGGTACATGCCAAATAAAGAAGCTCCTCCGGCCAAAAATGTCTACCGCGAAGGCCCCCAAGTTTGACCGCCCTTATCAACATTAATACCATGTACCGGAAGTTGCAGGGTTAGTTCCCCTCACATAACTGGGACAAAGCTGAAGGCCTACCTTTTCGAAGTTGGATAAGGAAGCAAAGCGAATATGCCTGGTGTTAAACGAGGACAAGACGAAGTATCTCCTGTCATCAAACAAACAGTCAGCGCATTCGCGCCTTGGCAACCACGTCACTGTTGACAGTTATAACTTTGAGAAAGTAGAAAGTTTCGTTTGCTTGTGAACCAGGATTAACACCANAAGTATCTCCTGTCATCAAACAAACAGTCAGCGCATTCGCGCCTTGGCAAACACGTCACTGTTGACAGTTATAACTTTGAGAAAGTAGAAAGTTTCGTTTGCTTGTGAACCAGGATTAACACCGATAATAATGTCAGCATCGCTCTTGCCAACAAATGCTACTTTGGACTGAGCAGGCAATTCAGAAGTAAAGTACTCTCTCGGCGTACGAAAACAATCCTCGACTTTTTTGAACTGAAATTCTGTAGTTAACTGCCGATTCTGAGTTAACTATGCACTGTGAATTTGACCTTCAGAGTTTTCGAGCTGGCTTGGCTTTGTCGTTCGAATGGAAACCGACTCTCCGAGCTTTGAAAGCAGTCATTTCGGAACCAGCTGGTGGTATATAGCAGAGGAAGAGGAGGGCCTCCCGCTGCCATGGAGAGATCAAGTGGAGAACGGCTTGGCTTCACTTGGCATTTCCAATTGGTGACAATCGGCATAGAAGAGAAACAACTGGCGTGCTTTGTTGAGCTCCGCCAAAATTTCTTAGGCGGTTACAGCGCCAAATGAGAAGAAGACGGCTCTGCGCCTTTTAGTACACCGCGAACAGCGTCTGTGGAGATTTTTGGAAAAAGTACAATCGATAATATTTATACAACAAATTTTACAGGGCGAGAGCTAGGATATCGGTCAAACCAGGGAACAAGACCGATACTTTTTTGAAGCGAAATTCGCTTGATATTTTTGATTAAAAAATATTTAACCCAAGGTGAATTCATACAAGGTGATAGTGGCAGTCCAAAAACAAGAAACTGCACTAACAAATTATACGCACGATGACAATCAGAACACAAAAAACTTACAATAAACACATCATTTTGACAATCAGCACAATTCGTCTTTAAATGAGCTGCTCAGGTAACACCACCTTGTATGAATTCGTCTTGATTTACCCTGCTAATTTTGTTTCTTTATACTACATTCGTTCTTAAAAATATGCAAAAAACTCCGAAAATATAATTCTATGATTTGTTTACTATGCTTCCGTTTGGACACCCAAATCTTCCCTCTTGAGGAATAGGAGGACCTTTTTGTCATACGCCCCGCACATAAGCCTAGACATCTTGCAACTATGCGTTTTAGTTCACGCCTTCTACACCTTTCGTATCATGGACATATCGAGCTCCCGGTTAATCGCTTGGAGCGAAATCGGCACCTCCTATAACAGCACAGTTTCCGATAGTCAATCCTTCCTCAAAAATTTGACGCTATACCACTGTCCCCATAGCATAAACTGTCCCGTAGCATAAAGCCTGGCGGCAGTTCTTAACGCTATATTCTTGGCCGGAAGGTCCGCCGGCAAGAGATGCAACAAGGTGTTGTCCTGAGTGCTCCTGTCATGCGGATCATTGATATCCGCTATAAACTTTCTAGTCTTCTAGCACGTAAAACCCAGTGGCTTTCCTCCTATAAGCTTCAGTTCTTTATTTTTAAACACTCTGGTAAGACTATTGGATTCGAACATTAAGCAATATTTAGCTAACTCCAAGAGTACTTTCCAACTGCGAGCATGCCCACTCCAGACCCCGATCTGTGGATACTGCACTCCATCAAATTGTGGCTAACATCGAAAAAAGCCTGGGCCCTCAGGGAGATTGCTTCCGGAGCTTTCTTTTCACAACCTTTACCCCGCTTTTATGCACCCTGACGATGAACAATTAGCTGTTACGCTTTCAGGCCTAGCTCTAAATATAAGGGTTAAACGCCAGAATTTCAATTATTCGCCTTTTTTCCAAACCCGGTTTTCGAGTTATTTGAAAAATTGCAATTTGATGAAAAAACCCGGTTCCCGATTTTGAAATTAAGAAAAGAACAGATAAATCGGTTTTATTTCACATAGTTTTCATACAGTGAAAATGTTTATGTTGGTATGAAGTTATTACAGGAAAGATATCTTTTAATTGGAAAAAAGGAAGCAAACAAAGTTTTATTTCTGGTCCCAGCCACGAAAAAAGGTGTTTTCTAATAGCGGTCTTCCTTCGGTAGATAATGCCAAGCCTCTGAGTGTACTTCTGCAGCAAAAAACGCTTCTTCGGAAGTGCAGTAAAAGTTTATATCTCTCCATTTTCGTCATATCTGGAAGCAGAACACGAATTGGAGAAATTCGGTCAAATACGTAGAAAACGTTTAAGCGCCAAACATTTATTTATTGGAATCTGTTACCTATGATATACTGTTCATTCCTAAATAACCTAAGCTATAATTTTAAATTTATTTAGAGGGTGGGCCTGANGTTTAAGCGCCAAACATTTATTTATTGGAATCTGTTACCTATGATATACTTACTGTTCATTCCTAAATAACCTAAGCTATAATTTTAAATTTATTTAGAGGGTGGGCTGGGATTTTTTGTAGAGTAAGTTTTATTAGAAATATTAAAATATTATAAAAAATGTAATAATTTACCACATTAATTTTTTTCTTTTTAACCGACATCAAAAAAAGCAGGAGATTATCAATTCATTGGAATACTATTTTTTTTATATATGTTACCGCCTAACTTTGGACAACATTAACCGATTTCGGCGGTTGCCTCAGGGAAGATCCCATACTAATTTGATTTAGATCGCATCATTGGATCATGAAGAAATTAACGGTACTTCTAAATTTTTATATGAGAATTGAAGTCGGTTGTGTGTTTTGCTTACAAATTACATGTTATTGTAGCAGTTGAGTTGTACCGAGCCTAACATAGAAATTTATATTACATGAAGTTTATTATGAACTTATTGGAGAGTTAAAATAAAAATTTGTTAATTGCCTATCTTACTTGCAAGCAAATTTTAAAATGCTGTTTCGTCTTTATACCAAAGTCGTAATTTTTTCATTATTTTTAACCGACTTCAAAAAAAAGTAGGAGGTTATATATCGTCGGAATATTTTGTTTATGTAAGTATGTTACCACATAACTGATTTCGATAATTTTTTTTTTAAAGAAAAGGTGGTAGCTCAGAGGTGGCCCCATTCTAATTTGGTTTAGATCCGATTATCGGTTCATGAAGAAATGATTCATAAAATACAAGGTCGGTTTAAAGAGCTTTATCAAATGACGTTTTCATGCATTTTTCAGTTTATAAACCTTTTTTTACTTTATGGGAATTCATCTAAACGCATAAACGCCTTGTAAGAGCGCAAATCTCGTAAATAAACCAGTTTTCCATGCAAAATTAATTGAGTTTACTAGCTTTCCATGGTTACGAGGCACTTACGCGTTTCGATAAATTGCCTTTTTATTTTTTGTGAATAAGGCCATTAAAGTTTTACATGAGAATTGAAGTCGGTTTTGTTTTTTGCTAAAAAATTACTTGTTTATTTAAACCAGTGATTCCCAAAGTGGTCCAGGCGGACTCCCAGGGGTCCACGGGAGACTCGGCAGGGGTCTACGTTGGCGTGAAATAAATTTGGGTGTCCACAAAAATTTATCTGGTTTCAATAGTAAAGAACCAAAATAGTTGCTTGTTATCCTATTTTTTTAACTTTAATTCTTGTCAGTGGTGTATAGTGCTTTTGACGCACTGGTGAACTTACCTTCACTTTGTGCCACCGTACGTGGGGAAGCCTTAAAGGCCCTGCAGACTAAAAAGAAACGGATGTTGGTATAACACTAAGGGCCGGCTGTTCAATGTCTGGTTATCACTACTTGCCGGTTAAACATCATTATCGACGTTTTCGACATCATGCATATAACATGTGATCGATAAAGCAGTCGTTGTATTTAACCAGAGCTTCTACCTCCGATTAGTGCTAATCAAACATTGAACAACCGGCCCTAAGGGCCGGTTTCTCCATCTCTGGTTAACACTAACTCCCCGGTTAAACATTGTTATCGACGTTCTAACTCCATGCATATAACAGGGAGTCGATAAGGTCGGTAACGATGTTTACCGGGGCATTAGTGTTAACCGGAGATAGAGAAACCGGCCCTAAGTGATGCGATGCGGAAATTGTCGGCAGCAGATATTTGAGCACTTGTGTCTTTTCAATGCTACAGGATAGNTTAAATCTGTTTAATAAAATTCAACCTTGCGTACTTTTCAGTGGGTTTTGTTTGTTTAGAATATTTATACCGATTGATTGGTACTGAATGAATGTGTGCACACATAGCAAAAGCTGCATTCATCTGAATGCGTATTCAGTGTTAAAAGTTGATGCTTCGTCATTCAATTTTTTCAATCTTTCTTTGAATATGTTAATGTGTGCAATCATATCTACTTTGAGTGAATGTAGAATTGGAAAATTATAAGCCACATTCCCCAACAAGGAAAAATTCAATGAAAACATAATAGCATAAAATTGATGATTTTTAATTTCAAATGATTTCACAGTTTTACAGCTCTGCAGGATAGTACGCCACCATAACCTTTATTGAAGAGATTCTAGAGAGAGAGTTCCCTGAAGGGGAATGCTGGTTTAATTCCAGCACTTAGCCCGCACTCGTACATTGTTTAACCTTCACTGATGCCTCCAAAACTGACTCAGAGTCAGAATCTGCAGTATTTTCCGGGGTTAATGGGGATAAGCTTCACTTTTTCTCTTGGGGAATATGCTTACGTGTCTACAGGTACAGATAAGCTGCACTTAATTCATTGGCCAGCCCTCTATCTAAGTACTTGCAAACTAGTTCAGCAATGCAAGTCTCGCCTAAATTATGTTGGTAAAGATAACGAGCTTGCTTTACTCTGGGTGCCGGGCAACTCGGAAGTGCCTGGAAATAAGACGTCTGACCCTTTGGCCGCAGTTGGCTTAGACCAGGCATTCCTCGATCCGCAACCAGTTACTTAAAGCACTCCCCACTTGACCATCGAAGCCACCATCAGAAACTGGGTGGATACTTCGCTCAGCAATGACAGGTGGGCAAAACTCATGTTGCCTTCAATCTCAGAGTCTGTCTAGTTTTTTCCTCTCACTGAGAAGACGGGACTGCTGACTGGTCACTTCACGTGGCACAAACACCTGACTGTGATAGGCGTAAATGACAACTCCATTTGCCCATCCTGCTTTGAAGAGAATGAGACGGTGGAACACTTCTTCAGCTTTTTGCTTACTTGTTTGTTTATCATCGATTTATCTAGATTCGGTCTTTTCTTTTTTGTCAGTTTCTGAATTTGAAGTTTGGCGTCAAAAGCTTTGCAGTTTTGTTGTTTCAAGTTTTGTGTTTTAAAAATGCGGGTGACGAATATTTTTCGCATCACTTTAAAACTCGGAACGATAAAAATAAAAATGATGCCATCAACACAAATAAACTATTAGACAAATACATCACATGTAAATTTATGAGTGAGCCGAACATGTGATGAGTTTATTTATTGTTCTTAAAAATATAACTCCTCATGGCTTTACGAGCTCTATTTTTTAAAACTTGCAAGTGTGTAATCACACTATTTTATTAAATATAACACAGGAAAATATTTTATTTTTATTTTTGCCACTCCAAATTTAGTTCTGGAACTCACCCGCGATGCAAAATTATATCGTTAGATTTAATCTTCACATTTTTTGATGAGCTTTGTGAATATGTTAGAAATGAGCTTAAGCCGAAATGAGCATGAGCCGAAACCAGTAAAGTTTTGAAAGGGGTCTACGAGAAAAATAAGTTTGGGATTTAAACAATAGTCTTCGAGGGTCTTCTGCAAATCGATTCATTGTTTTGGTGAAGATTTCATTTTTGTTTTTTCTTGTTTTCTGTGAACGCTAAGCATACCTATGTAAACCTAAATTCAAGTATAAACTAAGTAGAAAATATTAAAATATAATAATTATTTTATCTTTTCTTTTAAGTAAATGGCCGATATGATGAGTAAAAATCATTAAATTTTCTTNAGTATAAACTAAGTAGAAAATATTAAAATATAATAATTATTTTATCTTTTTTTTTAAGTAAATGGCCGATATGATAGAGTAAAAATCATTAAATTTTCTGTTACAATTTATTTTTTGTATAGCAAAAAAGGCACCATTGTGCTGTTTATAAACATAATTTATCAGTCTAACAAAAGGAAGCTGAAAAGGACGTTCACAGATGATAAAATTATCGAGTAACAACCAGCATTTTACCAATTCTCCTGAAATAGAAGTGAAGATGTGTGAATTGGGAATTGATTATGAATTCATAGAAAGAAACTAACAATGAAACTTTGGATAGTACCTGCGTCCGTCCACGAAGGCACCTACTGGGTCGAATTGTAAGTCCAAACCATCCAGCAGTTTGGTAATTTCATGACATGCATACAATGCACAAGAAAATCTATGAAATCGCGTCTTTTTAGTTTGGTTAATTTTTTGGCAAAAAAAAATTAAATTTCCTTCCACACAGAAATACAAAAAAGTACTTTGTACGGAATGGAAATCTGTTAAGTCGTTTGTTCATGCATCGCCGTCATACGAAAGGCTTTTCATTTATGTGTATACATATGTACGTAGATAGATTCTGCAATTAATAAAAATCGTCGAAATGATCACTATATACTGAAAATTAATATAATTTTAATTTGTCGATGACTTTTTCTTTCAGTGTACTGCACTTGTCATTCGTATTAACTATCCACAACCCGATTAACGGCTGATGCAACTTTCAAACTGCAGCATTTGTGGTGTGTGAATGCGTTACCGATTTCAGTAGTTGATAACAGCACAGCTATGGTGTGGAAGTACATATATGTAAAGTGAGGTCGAATACATAAATTAATGAAAACATAGAGGCACAACGCGAATTTGGTGCATCAAACTTAGGCATGTTACTAAAACCCAACACCATCATTGTAACGAAAGGCAGAGCATTGGGCGCGCAATAACTGACCACCCACCCACTAACCTTGGCGAAAAATCGATATTGCACTTTCCCAATGACACAAAATTCGCTGTGTTACGAACAAAACGCCAACTCAGCGAAATATTAGTGAGGTACACAAAAAATAGACACTTGACGGTGTATACACAAATACTAAATGTGCCACTTGCTCCTCGAAAAGAGCTGATGGATACGTCTTTCGGGTCAGCGCGGCACTGCCCATTTACCTTTTTCCTCAAACGTTTGTTTACTTATTCCAGCAATGCAGCAGAATGCGATGCACTGCAAAGGAATTTATCATTCGATAGTGACCATATACTGGCGCTGCGGCTGCAAGCTGCCGCTGCATCTGCTGGTGCTAATGATAAACGTGTATAAAAGTGGTCAGGACAGGCGAACAACATTGCAATTACACATTAAGTAACTTATTTTTCATTTTTTCATTTATTTGAATTTCAAAGTCTTTTTTGTATTATTTTGTTTATTATTTTTTATTGCACTGATGCATTTTCGTTTCTCAAACCACCATAAATACTTTGCACTTTACTGTTCACTTTTTCGATTTGTTAGCATTTTTTCACCGTTCAACTTCTGCAAATGTACACTGAAAATAATTTGTTTGCATTTCTGTTGTTGTTGTTGTTTTGTTGTTGTATAAATGCACTTTGCAGTTAATATGCGACAGCTGAATGCTTTGACCAATGAAATTTCCGGCCTACTGCCTTCTTGCTGCCATTTGGCCGCCACCTCTAACTGCTGTCGCAAATGCACTAACGTCAAAAAGTTACGGTTATCGCTATTGAAGTGCGGGAGTGGAAAACCCTCCACAACAAAAAATTCATTGACATTTCCGCGTGTGCGCACTGAGTGGTTAGTGAAAAGGAAATAGTAGAAAGGAAAGGGACAATTTGTTGTCAGTGGTAATGGTAATGGTACATAGATACGGCGATTTTGGTTATCGGCAATACTCCGAAGGCAAAGTACAAAATTGGCAAAAGATTTCTGTAAATTTGCCGAATTTGTTAATCCAAGGAAATTTCATAATTTTCTGTTCGGGAAATACAGCCGGAGGTAGCGTCATTTTGGTAAAGGCTTGCAATATTGCGTCTATTAGAGCTGTCAAAAAAGCCAACAGGTTGGCCATTAACGCAAATGCTTTCCGTTAACTCACACTACTCGCAAAGTGAATGGCGATAGCAACAACGTCAACCTAAAGGGCATACAAAAACACACACTATTTTCTTGACTAGACTTTTTTTTTAGACGATAGGTTCATAGAAACGTACTTATTTAAGTATTAAATTTTCATTATAGGCACAACTATTTACTGGATTCACAGAATGTCGTAAACTTCGGAATGTCTGTGGTGTTTTCTGTTCTCGAAAAAATTGTTTCCTCTTATATGGCAACATTATCAGAGTGTAACATTATCAGAGTGCAACATTTTAAACAAAGAGCACTCAATATGCCTGTGAAGGTGCTGAGAAAATAACACGAAAGAAAACGTTATCGTAATGCGTTTAATGTAGAATAGCGGTTAAAACCGGCTAATTATTGGGCGAGAGCGAATAGATGACGGCTGAACTCTAAACAGGGCTGAGATTGGCTTGACCGGGGATATCATAGCCGCCTATCATCTGAAACACCCACTTAAAGAGGAAACAAATGAAAACACCTTTACCTTCAACCCATTATTGTATTTTTAAACATTTCCTAGGGATCTGCCCATGATACTAAACTGATTTATTAATACCCGGCGTGTTTCACTGCGCCTTGAAAGTGTTTTTGTGCTATTTGATACCCATATTGTAATATTTCATTTATCTTATCAATTTATTTTAATATAATTTTCAAACGCGCCATATAAAATATTTTCGGTAATAAACTTTCCTAAACCTCTTCAGTTTGATACCCATATTGCAATATTCAACTTATCTTATCAATTAAATTGAATTAAAATTTTCAAACAGGCGGCAACCTTCAACAAAAATATTTTCGGCTGTAAGCCTTCTTAAACCGTTTTCTTTTGCCCGCCATATTGCAATATTTACTTTATCTTATAAATTTAATTACACTGAAATTTTTAAACAAATGGCAACTTTCTATTTTTTTTCTTCCTATATTTTAAGTGAGACCCCTAGCAATGCATCGGTGAAAACTGCATTCAATTCCATGCATTAGTTTTCCCAGTGATGCGCGTGCAAACATACAGGCAGACAGACAGACAAAAATTCTAAAAATTGTTGATTTGGCTTCTGTTGCTCTAATAAACTACGTGTCAGTTGGTAAGTGTGTTTCTCCATTACTAATGCTAATTTATAAATAAACGAAGTCCCTGCATCTTTAAATATATATATATATATATTGGATACTGTCAACAGTGAGGTTAATGCCGCCTCGATTTATCCCAGGGAGCAGGGGCGGACCCAGCAGCAATTCTTTGGAATTTTTCAACATATGTCGTGTATATAAATTTAAAAATCACCGCAATTTAAAATTTTTAGAGTTTTGAATTTCTTGAATTTTCCCATTTTAAATAACTTGAGTGGAATTCCAAAATTTTCTAAACTTTCAAAACTTTGTGAATTTCAGAAATTTTAGTAAATCACAATAATTCAATATAATGATGAATACTAAATTTCTAGAAATTTTTTATTAATGTCCACCATGTTCGAAGACACGCTCTTAATTATAAAAGCCGATTACATGCACAAGCGCAAACCAGTATTGTTGCATTTATTGCAACATGAATTTCTAATTAAAGGCCAGCGCAAAATACTATTTTCGCCAGAGAATGCTGCAGAGTTCTACAAATCTCAAGCGGAAGATAAAGATTTCATGTTGCAAGTCATTTTACTTTCGAAGGGCATTAGTGAGGCCTTCATACTGGCCAAGGAGAATGCGGTGGAAGGCTTGATCTGCACAATGATTTGCTATTTGTAATGCTCCACTTGATTGGTTTTTACAAATGTTTTAATTAACCTAAATCTTCCTCAAATCTTTCATTGCAGCTCAACATCCATGGAAATGGTACGCAATGTGCACGTTTCAACGAGCACAGAGAGCGCTGCACGCGAGATAAGTTTCATTTTTGTAAATTGTAAAAATAATGGAATTCTTAGCTACCTAATCTCCCACTATTCCATTAATATTCATTTAACCTTACTGCAGATATTCCTGAGCCCATTCCACTTTTTAAACGGCACAAATTTTCCTCAGACTCTCTAATGGCGCCGTTCATTAGTCAACTCTATGAGATTATTCAGAAACCCGATGATGAAAAGAAGAGTTGGAAAGTTCAGTTGGCTGAGTGGTTGACCCTGGAAAATCCAGAACTGCCAATAATGAGCAATACATGTAGCACTAGGGCTGAAATTTTTGTCGAAGACAAGACTCAACAGGTCAATTTGGTGGACTCAACTGGAAAAAAGCCTTGCGTTTTTCATACTGATGGCGCTGGTGGTGAGACGGCTTCTTCAGATGTTACCTGTGCCCCTTCGTCTTCATCCACTGGTAATTCAATAGTGATGAGCAGTTCGTCCTGCATGACATGTTGTCCCTTCGAGCGCACTGAGGTCGACGTGACCACCGAGGATGTATGTAATAAAGC